AAAAAAAAAAAAAAAAAAAAAAAAAAAAAATACTCACGTGAAGACGTCGAAGCTCCACCCCGCAATGGCCGTGAAGAACCGCGCCGCAATGTCCTTCCCCGGGTTGATGGGATAGGCGCAGTTCCATCCCAAGGACATCCCGATCAGCGCCACGATCGCCCCGATGTACATCGGGAACAGGGCCTTCGACACCTGCATGTTCCTCTCGTCGATCACGGCACATGCCAGGAGTAGAAGCATGGCCGTCCCCACCAGCTGTCAAATCAATGGAACCTTTCAACGCCATTTGCAATTCATCACATTCAACGTCCACCGAACATTTTCCCGCTTCCCTCCATAGATCAATACCAGTTATAAATCGCAAAGTAGTACCCATGCAAAATGCCAACACGGCAGAAATGCAATAGGGCTACTTATATTTTTTCTATTTGTACTTCAGTGTAAGTGCCGAGCACTTTTCCAAAATTGAGCACAAGTGAGCAAATGAAATATTTTTCAAGTGCATTTCCAGTACCGGTACAGTACAACGTAAGGTAAAAAATTCAGAAGAAATTAATGTTCCTCCACCCATATGACTGCCATAGGAAATCGTTGACAGAAGATTGCAAGCAGATTTCAGGTGGAATGGCTGCTAAAGAGTGGTATCGAGAATCAACTACGTGAGGTAGTGATTGTACCCGTACTTGCACTAGCGGAAAACTTGTATACTAGCATAAAAATACGAGAACCACCTGCCAGGAACGCAAAACAAATGTACTCGAGTACAACATTCATGTACCCGTATTTTACATTTATATATAAACTCAAGTACTCGGTATCATGCAAACCTAGATAGTCCATAAAATACCGTAGTTTATCAGCCGCAATGTAAGAGTGTGTACTCCCGAGACCCGTACTTCCAGGTCGATAAACTCTGCGTTTCACAGAGAGACCCCCCGTAGTGGAAATAGGACGAGTTCCTCAAAAAGTTCCGTAATCATCAAAATTGAAGTTGCAGGGTGCATTTCTCTTCGGGACGGACATCTCGCCGAAATCGGTGCAACTCGAGTAAAATTAAAGGGTGAATAAATTCTCGAGGAAGTGGGAAACCGAAACGCACGGAATCGAGGAAGCCGATGCCAGTGGAGAGGAAGCCATTGGGATTGGGATAGGCAGCGAAGAGGCCAGCCGTCGCCAGTTTACCCTCCACCGTCCGGTTCCCACCGTCGTAGAAGTCCAGCGCGTCTGCAGAGAAAAGAAACCCAAAATGTCCTCCACGTTCAAATCTCTAGGGAGGGGGAGGTGGGAGGTGGGAGGGGGAGGGGGAGGGGGAGGGGGAGGTGGGAGCAGCTGGAAGGCGTACCGGAGTAGATGCCGTAGAGGAGGACGGACGCAGCGAAGGCGCCAAGGTATTGGCCCAGCCAATAGTGAGGCAGCTTCCTCCAGGGGCATTTCCCGATCGCCGCGAATCCCAGAGTCACCGCCGGGTTTATGTGACCCCCTGGGTCGAGAATCGAAAATTTATTCATCGTTTTCACTCGTAGCTTCCCACGGGCGATAATCGAGTGATATGCACCAGATAGATTTAATCGAATTTCATTCTGGCTTCTCTGGGAATTTGCATCGCGAAAATCCCGCGAGAAACCGAATGAAGTTAAATCATTCTAGTGTCTGCAACCAATCATCGAAGAGGTACCCGAGATGCCCCCAGACGCCATGACGCCAAAGGCGACGGCGATCCCACTGGCCACATTGATGGTGAAGAAGTTGCCATACGAATCCTTGCTCAAGATCACTTGGGCTGCACACCCGTTCGCCATCAGCTAGAGATTCGGTTCCCCCAGAGAGTAGAGAATCCATAAATTTCGCCGACTTAAGATCAAGCGACTTAACAGCACTGTAGACTGTCGACCGGTCCACAAATCACACGATCGAGAATCGCAGGATCGTCCACAAAATCGACCCCGACCAAAATTCGAAACACGGGGAGACGAATTACCATGAGGATGAAGGTACCGAGAAACTCGGCCAGAGTCTCCCGGATCGCTTGGCTGCTGATGACGAGCTTCTTCAGATTCATCGTGGGCATGCTGCAGACGTGCGAAGGAGGCAACAGAAGCCACAGGGACTGATGCGAATGTGCTCCCCGGCCATCCACTCGGCGCGGCGCCCACTCGACATCCACTCGGGGCGATAATACCCACGTGACCTTATCGGCCTTCGAGCTCCGGTGAGGGCCAAGGCGGGTCAAGAGTTTCGCGAATTCTCGGAAGAACTTGCTCGACCTTACCGATTACTTCCGGCAACGCCCTGTAATTCTCTTCACCGCGTAGGTACCTGGATTTCCACATTTCAACAAAACTGGAAAAGTGATCAGCGTGTAGTTCACAGGTTGTGGTTCCGTCGCACTTTTCTTTTTGCCCACCGTTCTGCACTCTAACGGCGGACTCAAACTATAGAGACAACACAAAATCCTATTCTTCTAGTTGACATTTTTCCACGCCCCGTATTATACATACCATAGATATGGTCAAGTGCTTTCAGACCTCCAGAAGAACCGGATGGAACGGAACGCTGCATCCACCCAATACCAAATCTTTATTGATTCAACTGCTGAATTTACTTTTTGATGCTGGATATCTTTGCCAAATATGGAACAGGAGATTGAAACAGCATCCAGTGGATCTCTATTGGCATTAATTACCTTTATGCTATTAATGCCTCGGCCAAGTTTGGCATTTTTCACATGAATCTTCTAGTTTAGTGCACATTCCATGCACAAGATAGTTCGATATTTTTCATTATTTTACAAAGTTAGTCCATTGAATTGAAGACTTAAGTTCAATAGGTTCATGGAGTTCAAAATAAATGGTCAGTTGTCCTTATTCTATCAATGGCTGCTTCCAGATGGTCATGACATTGTTATGGTTCACAGATGACAGCTGGATGAGCTCATCAACACATGGACTCAGAACTTATTCTGATGAATGAACAATTTTTTAGGGGAAGAGGTGTCCTCTGTGCAATAAGTATTTTTACCCTCCATAATTAAAATTTTCAGGTAGTATTTTCTGTTTGAAAACCTGGCAACCCTGACCATAGCATGTAGTCATCTGGAAATATGAAAAAAAGAAAAAGACAATCCACATCAGGAGTACATGATTAGTTATAAGATGGAAAGCAATTTGTTGAGATTCAACTACCTCTTGAGTTTTGTTACTATGTAGCCCTATGATGATATACATATTGATGCAAAAGTTAATGGAATGGAAAGAAAATTAAAAAATTAAAAAGTAGATAAGAGATTATTGATCTCTGAGTCAAATGAATGCAATATGAGTGAAAAATTTAAAAGGGTGGGATTGCCAAGGCCAGAGAGCTCTGGTGAGATTCCATTTCTGCCAAGGAAATGGAACTTGAAACACTCATGTCTTCCACCATGGGAACTGATGATTTCTCAGAGAAACTGAGCTCATATTCATCATCATCAGAGAGAATCAAATCTTAGCCCTAAGGGAGACTGAGGATTTTGGTGAACAACCAATTGTAACCCAAGTGACATGATGCTGGAGTTACCAGAGTGAAAATAATATTCTACACTCTGTTCTAAGCACTGAAAATGTGAGGTGCATTGTAGATACAGAGAAACATTCTGAAGATTCTCTGATCCATACTTGTAGCTTTCTTATCTGTACTTGTGGCTTAATATTGAGAAGTATACTTGCATTGGGTCCTCTCATGATTGAGAGCATGGGGTCCGACAGATCCCATTCAAGCACACCCGCACGGATCGATCGAGGCCATAGAAAACGATCCACTTGACAGAGCAGTGAGTTCTGTCATGAGCATTTGTCTGGGACCTTGCACTTCCTGCTTTTCTGAATGCAACTGTGCATATGGTGTCAATATTCCCTTTGCTCCTTATTGGAGGTGGGTGGTACACATTAGGCTAACACAGAGACCAGAATGTAGCTAAGAATGAAATTGAGAAATCATAATGAAAAGAACTTATACATCCAACTCTGTAAAGGGGCATAAATCTGGATTGCATGACAAGGGAACTGACTCAGGCCTGGTGGCAGACCAGGACAAAACAAGAATGAAAGATGAATGAAAGGTTAGTTGAGAAACTGCAAGAACTTAAACTCTGATTCTGAAAATTTTTTCACAGCTTATACGAGCAGACAAAAGTGAAACTTTCAGTGTTCAGAAAAGTAGACTAGGACTTCCAAAAAGTTTTATTCGGTATTACTAGAGAAAGTACTGTAGAACAATATTGGCACCAACTTGATGCTCCTATAAGGTGTGCTACAACTAAAAAATATCCTCAACTTACTTCTTAATTCTTGAAGGGAAAAAAGACCAATAAAGCCTTTGATAATTGCTGACAGCTTCATAGGTCATGGCAAAAGCCCTTGAGGCAATTGATATGTTAAAGAACGTGAATCACACACAAAGGTCTTACAGACATAGAATGCATGCAGACTATGTTGGTTGCTGATTTTCAGGCATATGTCACACCCAGCAGGGCCAGGCTATGGAAACAAGCAAATATGCATGTTTCTGTAGCCTGGTCTATGCCTACCATATTCCTTAACTTTTACATTTGGCTAAGATGTTACTTCTAACAAACCTAGCTGATATTCACATAATTTATTCCTCCACATAACATGCATGAATTACTTAATGCAGAGAGTGAATTCATCTTGTATATCTCAATACAGTCTGATTTTTTTTTCTAATTGGCCCAAGCGATAGCCTGTATGAGAGTCTTGAAGGCAACAGTTTAAGGCTAGCAAACAACTGACATCCAGGCCGGTCGTAGGCTAGCCTCTTTAGCCCTTATCCGGGCGAGGTATTTTTGTGACCCAAACGGCCAAGGCCAAACACTTTTAGAATTTTTTCCTTAAAAGCAAATCCAAACTTTAAAAATTCGTTTTTGAATCAATGGATGACTGTCTATGAAACCCATATCAAATTTAAATAATATTTTCAAAAAAATTGCGGAGAGTAATGAAATGAAATATACCATGGGGGGTCCACTGGAACACCTTGCCCGGATAAGGGTTAAGGGTGTCCACCCCTGTCATGGGCATATTTGGTCTGCGTCAATTTGGACTAGAAAGTATGTTTGGCCTCTGATGGGCATACATAGAATTTCTCGAAACAGCAAAGGCACGTAATATTAGGCCTAAGCCGGTCTTATCTCAAGTTTCTCCAACCATCTCGACGAGGACGTCTGGGAAAATCTATCCTTGCTTATCCGCCTGCTCGTGGAGCGCCATCACGTTTCAGTGATGTCCGATGGTCGTTTGATATACCGCATCGAGTACTTGAAGAAGTGCTGCGTATCTATTTCCACTTCGTAGATTTCCTTCAATTTTACCGCACCACAACGAAGAAACGAAAATGAACATCGAGCAGTGCGAATAGAAGAGCCAGGCACCAAAGTAAAATTGGAATAACCTACATAAATTGAAACTTGATATCTGGCAACCATGCTGATTAGGGCCGCTAGTTAGGCCTGGCTTCTCCAGTATTCTTAGTTCGTCCGTCGATCTCTATCGATATCGTCCATTTCTTATTTCCCAAAGGCAGTGGTGAGCCGAATAGGGGAAGGGGGGTTTAGGGGTCATACCCCCCCCCCCCTCCTTTGGGGTCAACTTTACAGGTTCGATTCTCACAAATGTTTAATTTAGCCACAAATACAGGGTGGGTTATAATTTTTTCATGTTAACCCCTCCCCCCCATTAGGGTGGGTAATCAGTGTTTCATATGACAACTCCCTCATTTGGATTCCTTGGGCACGCTACTGCCCGATGGTATCTCATTTCCCTTAAAATGTGTTTTACTTGTGTTTTATTTTGGTCATATCTCCAGAAAAATTACGATGTGAAATTGGCATTGAGTCGGAATGGGATCCTGGTTCTTCGAATTGAATTGAATTCCTCCAGATGTTCCAAGGAAGGAACTGTGAAGGACGTAAGTGTAGCGTGGATGGTTGTATGTGTGTGTGTGTGTGGGAAGGGGTAACAGGAACTCTGGGACACTGTTATTCATGAGTCTTCTCCGCTTATTTTTGCTCCTTTTCTTGAAATGAGAGGAGGGGGGGTGGGGTCCACGTGCCCCCCCTCCCTCCCCTCCCTTCCCAACACTACGCCGCTGATGAAGGACTCTTAAATCGAGATGATAAAAAAGGAAAAGGCGCCATTCATGCGCAGGGTGGCCAAACTTGAGTTGCGATGAGATTGCAGAGAACGGATCCAGGGATAAGATATGAATAACTGAATTTTCGCATCTGGTTTTTTCGAAAAAATTGGACCAGTTGAAAGAATCGAATCTCGCTAACTTTCTCTAGTTGATATATTCTCTTTTTTTTTCCTGTCCGTCTGGATATTCCCTCCCTTCAAACCATGACCTCCTTCCTGCAAAAAAAGTTTCTGGTTTACGCATTATGAATGGCTTGTTCAAGCAGGAGAGGAAAAAGCTCGGAATGCAGGGTCCTCCCTCCTGGAGAGGGAGGACCCTCTCTGACTCGCGGGTTCAGGAGTGCCTCCCTGCTATCTCCTGCACGCGGATACCATCCCCACGCTTGGAGGGTGACACGGGATGGTCCCTCGAGTGGCGTGCATTCAGTGGTGCGCCTCCGGAGGCGTGTCGCTTAATCCTCTACTCCAAGGTATCTTATCTCCGTCGTTCTCTTTCCACTAAGGGGGGAGGGGGAAGGAATCTCCAAGGTCGACATGAGGTACAGGAAAAGCTCCTTTAATCCGCTCGAATACGAATATTTTGAGACATCCAAGGAACACATAAGAGACATGAAAGCGTCCGTGTTAATGGGTGAGACGATGAAGATGATACAGCAGGGATGAACCGGTTTACGGGGACGAACCGGTCGTTACTGAAGGGTGGACTTGGAGCTTTTGACTTGGCCTGATTCCAGGGAAACCCGCGGGGAAGAGTCGGGGGCTGGAAAGGAAAAGAAACGAGAAAGTCAACGGAGTTTGCCATGAAAATCTGTTGCTTTTATCTCGCTCGAGTAACCGTAACGGTAACCTCATTCGAGGTCGCCGTTGCTATTCGAAGTACTTTGGATGGTGAGAAACATCTTAATTGCGGAATGAATTCGTGTAAAATTATGCTAATGAAGCTTCAGTTTGCCAGCGCATTAAACAATAATAAATCCGTTTCTTTATACTGAATATCCGCTGCGGGTTGTCGGATGTATTCGGAGCCGGTCGATGAGCGGCAAATGAGGGCGAGCTCAGAGACACGTCAACCCGAGTCTGTCTTGCCAGAAAACAAGACAATTTTTCCCCATGCACTTATTTTTAAATCTTAACAACTTTCGTTCCAGGAATCCAAGAGGGAAGCGCGACACCGCCACGGCTCATAATTCAGCTTTTTCTTTTCCTCCCTCTCGTCCCTGAGCCGCCTGACACGTTAATGTCCCCCACTTATCTCTGTCAACCCGCGACCGAACAGATACAGCATCTACACTAAACACACTCCCAGATTATCCTCGCATCCGTGAAAAAATAAATACCATCCAGGAAGTGACCTCGTGCAGGAGAACTCAATAAAGTGTCGTCAGCGAGCATAATGCTCCGAGTGCAGGTGGCATGTGCCAAGTGCAGGTGGCGAATGCCAAGTCCAAGTGACATGTGCTCCAAATAAAAGACCCGTTGTGACGGTACGATTGCATCTAATGTGCATCTAATGTGCATCTATTGTGCATCTATGGTGCATCATTTGTGCATCTATGGTGCATCGATTGTGCATCTATGGTGCATCAAGGCAGACTCGACCTCACATCTCTGCCTGTTCGTTGACTCGACGTCCCCCCTCTTCCTCTTCTTCGGGTCGGCTTGAGCATGTACCCTGTTGGCCGACCCGCGCCACGAGCCGAAGAGCTTCGCGGACCCGGCGTTCCTCTCCGTGCTCCCATCCGGGAGCGGGAGGTCGTAGAGCGAGGCGAGGTCGACCGAGACCGACCTCTGATTTCCCGCGGATAGGGTCAAAAGCCGGTCCGAGGTCTCGGGCAGGGTCTCCAATTCCTCCTCCAATTCCTCCATGGCGTATTTGGATAATTTGCTCGTGGAATCCTCGAGCTCCAACTTGGTTACGTTCCCGTTAACCTGTAGCTTAACAGGGCTGTCCGTCTTTACCGATCGATCTGTCTCCGCTGTAAATTTTCTCCCGTCAGTTCCAACGTCTACCTTCGGGGTTACGAGAGGCCATGAGCGCATTTTCGAGCATTTTTCACCTACCGTCCAGCGTGTCCTTCGGGAGGAACTGGCCCTTCTCGGCCATCTCCATGACCGGGGCCCCGGGGGCGGGGGCCACGTGAAAACCGACCATGAGTTGATAGGACCAGGCTCCCAGGATCCCTCCCACGATCGGGGCGACGATCGGGATCCAGAAGAAGTAGTTGTTCGCACTGCATGCAATTAAACGAAGATGCGCATTAAAAAATTGGGCGTTAGAAATTCCTGGTTCTCGCAACCTTTTTAATTTTAAAATTAAAACTTTGATACCCAACAGCTCAAAATTTAATGTTTTTTCAAAGAAATAAAATTTAGAGTCATTAAAGTTACTAAAAATTTTATTTATAGTGATTAAAATCAAAATCTATGAATAAATTGATATAATGGAACTGCTACTTAAATAATGTAAATATAATTTCAAATCTAAAGTAAATTTAAGTAATACAAAATAATACAAGTAAAAAAAGGTAAAAGAATAAATAACAGTGAAAGTAAATAAATCACAGGAAAGAAAATAATGGATTCCTAAGAAGATAAATTACATACGTGAATGGCAGGCCCTTGTTCGCGGTCCCCAGGGAGGCGAAGAGAGTGAAGAGCCGCGGTCCAAGGTCTCGGGCGGGGTTGATGGCATAGCCGCAGTTGAAGGCGAGGGCCATCCCGATGGCCATCACGGTGAAGCCGACGTAGATGGGGATGAGCATCTTGTGGACCGACATGTTGCGCTCGTCCGTGATGGCGCAGATGCTCAGGAGGAGGATCCAGGTTCCCACGACCTGAGGTTGGCACGGATTTGGCACTCAATTGATTTAGCGCGGATGCGTTGAAACGGTTGGGAGCGTTTGTGGGGCTTCTTTCGTGCTCTGATGCCGGATAATGCGCATTAAAAAATTATTGTTAGCAAAATTATTATATTGATAGGAGATTTTTCAACCGGTCGGCCTTCATAAATTGCGGGGAAAAAAAAAACTTGAGAAGTTTCACGGAAGTAGCACTGTAAAAAAAGATCATCTGGCCTTATTCGCCTTTTTCTCTCCTTTCTCTAAGGAAACGCAGAATCTCTCCAGAGAATTGCTATTTTACTTTTGAAGTCCCTTCTCCCTCTTTCTTCTCTCACGAATTTCACTATTTCGGAGAAAAAAAAAAGTGTTTTCTCGCATTTCGTACGGCCTTGAACCCTAAACAACAGAGTTGCCGGATGTCATAATGGAATTCGCCGGTTTTGAAAGTCATCCTGCTTCAGCGTCTGTCCCTGAATATTCAATTTCCGAAACGTGATAAATTTTCTTCTCGAGTTCTTGGAACGAGTCGGGATGGTTCGAGGGTAGGGCAATCTTGTCGAACACGTTGCCTTTAATGGAGAAGGGGCGAGGAAGGGGGAAAAGCTTTTGAAAAGGTTTTCTTGTTACGACATGCACATATATATCCTCGCGATTGCAAAAGAAGCCTCTCTTCCATTTAAAGAATGGAGACTCACTTAAACAGAGAAAGGAAATGGATCAATTACGAAAACGAGGGCAACCCTTCCGGAAGTAGAAAGCTTTCAGCACGCAATTCAGACGATCAAACAAGAAGTAAAAAAAAAAAGAAATATAGTATGAAATCTATGATCCCCGACCTGATCGAAGAAGGAGTTGGCATTGGAGACGGCTTCGAAGGGATAGGTGGCCCAGATCCCCAGAGCCGGAAGGTTCCATTCTCCCTTGTCAAAATTGTGTAGGGCATCTGTCATCGGACACAAGGCATGCCTTCACATTGGCACATCAAATCTCACGTAAAAGTGCTGGTTAGAGTGAAGGTGGAGGTGGAGGTGGAGGTGGAGGTGGAGGTGGAGGTGGAGGG